TGCGCACAGAGACATTCATCATATACACACTCCAAGTCGACGCAGGCGTGCGCACAGAGACATTCATCATTTACAGACACTCCAAATCCAAAAGTGCATGCGAAGGTGTGCGCACCAAGACATTCATCATATACATGCACTCCAAGTTGACGCGTGCATCCGCAGATGTGCGCAGAGACATTCATCACATACACACACTCCAAGTCCAAACGTGCATGTGGAAGTGTGCGCATAGAGACATTCATCACATACACACGCTCCAAATCCAAACGTGCATGCGCAAGTGTGCGCACAGAGACATTCATCACATACACACACTCCAAGTCCAACGTGCGGTGTGCGCACAGAGATATCCTTCCTATACACGCACTCCAATTCCAAACGTGCATGCGCAAGTGTGCGCATGCAGACATTCATCATATGCACACACTCCACGTCCAAACGTGCATGCGCAGGTGTGCGCACAGAGACATTCAATACTCACATTCAAAGTCACGCAGGCGTGCGCACGCAGACATTCATCATATACACGCACTCCAAGTCGACGCAGGTGTGCGCACAGAGATATTCTTCATATACACACACTCCAAGTCCAAACGTGCATGCGCAAGTGTGCGCACGCAGACATTCATCATATACACACACTCCAAGTCCAAACATGCATGCGCAGGTATGCGCACAGAGATATTCTTCCTATGCACACACTCCAAGTCCAAACGTGCATGCGCAAGTGTGCGCACACAGACATTCATCACATACACACACTCCACGTCCAAACGTGCATGCGCAGGTGTGCGCACACAGACATTTATCATATACATGCACTCCAAGTCAACACGGATGTGCGCACACAGACATTCATCAGATAGACACACTCCACGTCCAAACGTGTATGCGAAGGTGTGCGCACAGAGACATTCATCATATACACACACTCAAAGTCGACACGTGCATGCGCAGATGTGCGCAAACAGACATTCATCACATACACACACTCCACGTCCAAACGTGTATGCGAAGGTGTGCGCACAGAGACATCTATCATATACACGCATCGCACGCAGGCGTGCGCACAGAGACATTCATCACACTCCAAGTCGACGCAGGCGTGCGCACAGAGACATTCATCATATACACGCACTCCAGGTCGACGCAGGTGTGCGCACAGAGATATTCTTCCTATGACATGAAATTCATGATGACTGTACATAGAAAGATCCGTTCCCTTGCGCGAAACGAGTGAAATTTACAGGTCGAGTTTTGAGGGTTAGGAACAAGCACATGATGAAGAAGAGCGTCGAGGTGGTGATGGGCGGCAAGTGGGGTGAGCTGCAGGCCGAGAACGCATCCCTTGCCGGACAAGTAGCCGACATGAAGCGGAAAGTAGGCCAGCTGGAGGAGCAACTGGCGGTCAAATCCGACGTCCTGCAGAAGCAATTGCATGAATGGATGGATCAATCACCTCAAACGACCCTGAATGTATCGTGTAGAGGCTGGAAGAGTCGGAGAGGGCCACAAAAAAGAGTTACGAGGCGCTTCTGAATGACCACAGGGAGCTCACGTCCAACCATGCGCTGCTGGAGGGAGAGATGGAGGAGATGAAGATGGAGAATGGCACGTGTGTGCTTGCAAGGGGTGTATCTTATGAATGTCTCTGCGCGCACAGCTGCCCACGTACGTGTGGACTTGCAAGGGGTGTATTCTATAAATGTCTCTGTACACACAGCTGCGCACGTATGTGTGTGCTTGCAGGGAGTGTATCCTATGGTCTTTTGTGTGCAGACAGCTGCACACGTACGTCTATGCTTGCAGGGGTGAAAATATGATGCACATCTCTGTACACTCAGCTGCGCACGTAGGCGTGGATTTGCAGGAAGTGTATCTTATGAATGTCTCTCTGTCACAGCTGCGCACGTACGTCTATGCTTCCAGGGATGAAACACATCTCTGTACACTCAGCTGCGCACGTAGGCGTGGACTTGCAGGGGGTGTATCTTATGAATGTCTCTGTGCGCACAGCTGCTCACGTACGTCTATGCTTCCAGGAGTGAAACACATCTCTGTACACTCAGCTGCGCACGTAGGCGTGGACTTGCAGGAAGTGTATCTTATGAATGTCTCTGTGCGCACAGCTGCGCACGTACGTCTATGCTTCCAGGGATGAAACACATCTCTGTACACTCAGCTGCGCACGTAGGCGTGGACTTGCAGGAAGTGTATCTTATGAATGTCTCTGTGCGCACAGCTGCGCACGTACGTCTATGCTTCCAGGGGTGAAACACATCTCTATAGACACAGCTGCGCACGTAGGCGTGGATTTGCAGGAAGTGTATCTTATGAATGTCTCTATGCGCACAGCTGCCCACGTACGTCTATGCTTCCAGGGGTGAAACACATCTCTATAGACACAGCCAGCTGCGCACGTAGGCGTGGACTTGCAGGAAGTGTATCTTATGAATGTCTCTGCACAGCTGCGCACGTACGTCTATGCTTCCAGGGGTGAAACACATCTCTGTACACACAGCTGCGCACGTACGCAGGTGAGCGCACAGAGACATTCAGGATATACACATACTCCAAGTCCACGCGTGCATACGCAGGTCTGCGCACAGAGACATTCATCATATACACACTCCAAGTCGACGCATGCATGCGCAGGTGTGCGCACAGAGGCATATAGTACATATTGTGTGCGCACAGAGACATATACACACACTCCAAGTCCAAACGTGCATGCGCAGGTGTGCGCACAGAGACATTCAGTATAGGCACACACACCAAGTCCCAACGTGCCTTCGCAGGTGAGGGCACAGAGACATTCATGACATACACACACTCCAGGTCCACGCGTGCATACGCAGGTGTGCGCACAGAGACACTAAGTATATAAACATACTCCAAATCCAAACGTGCATGCGCAAGTGTGCGCATAGAAGGATTCAGCAGATACAGACCCTCCAAGTCCAAACGTACATGTGCAGGTGTGCGCACACAGACATTCATTATATGCACACACTCCAAGTCCACACGTGCAGGCGGAGGTGTGCACAAAGAGACTTTCGTCATATACACAGACTCCAAGTCCAAACGTGAATGCGCAGGGCTGCGCACACAGAGACGTTCGTCGTATACACACACTCCAAGGCCAAACGTGCATGCGCAGGTGTGCGCACAGAGACGTTCGTCGTATACACACACTCCAGCTTCTTTGCTTCCGAGTAGCGAGTTGATGGGGCCGCCGTCTTCATCCATGTCTCCTTCTGCATCCGTGTCCTTTCGTAGACACCCATAACACACTTCCTACCCGGCCCCGCCCACCCACCCGCCCGCGCGACACAGATAGACAGACATCCTAAGAGAAACGATCACACCAGGAGAAACAGCCGAACAGCCCATATGGAAGAGAGACTCAACGTTAATAGGTCAGTGGACAGGGATTTGATACGTTTAAATGGCCGTAGCTGCCTCTACTGGATGAGTAGATTTCGTTGTGGCTTCTTTGTGCTCCTCTCCTGTCTCAGCTATGGCGATGGCCGTCAGCGGCTCCTTTTTCTCGCCCTCCTCGGCGCCCTCCTCGATCTTCTCGGCTTTCTTCTTCTCGGCCTTCTTCCAGGGCGATTTGCGTATCAGGACCCAGGACAAGGCGACAGCACTGGAGATGAAGACAAGGCACGCAAGGATGATGATGAAGACGCCGCCCAAGCCTTCTTGATCCAGGCAATCCTTGCTGAAGTCAAAGACGCCACATGACGATTCTGCATGAAGAATAGGAACGACAACAGGCCTCGTATATCATCGCAAGCAGGCAAGTAAGTAGCCAATATCTATATTCTCGCCTGTTGAAGAGGATTGCAGCATGGGAAAGGAGCAATATTCCTCACACATGTCTGAAGGCATGATGTTCCGTATAGTCACCGAGAAACCTTGGTCCACGTCGATGACAACGCTCCCCTCCGATACGCGAGACATGAGATCGGCCATGCTGGTGATCGTCGGGAATTCAGTCACGTCCAGTACGTCATGATAATTGTGATGGTCCAGTATGTCAAATACGGGGATGGTTATGTGGCCCGCCTTGTCAGGAATCACACTGCATCCGACAAGAGACAAAAAGCTATACTGTACGTCTGTGCTGTATGCTTCTTACAAGGTGTCGGCTCCTGCATTCCGAAAAGGGTGTCGTCCCCTCCGCCGCTGACGATAACGTCATTCCCCTCCAAACCTGTCAGCGTATTTTCTTTTGCATTGCCCGTGATGACATCGTCATATCTGGTGCCCTCGACATCCGCAATCGGGCTGTCCTCTGCCAAAGTGATGCGCTCGGGATAGGAGCTTAAGACACAAGACACCTTCGTGGCGGATGGCATGTGACATGCAGTTGCCGCGTCCTCATGGTCGTCGGTGTCGATGCTGTCGATTGTGATGTGCCCGTCGGCCAACAAGTCGGCATGTCAATTTCCAGCTCGCTTGCAGGCCTCCAAGGAGAAATGGGAGAAATGGGCACGCTGGTATTCATTCATTCAGGCAGACAGACAGACAGACATCAGTGGCCTGCTTGTCTGCATGCATCTTACCTGGTGCCGCCCGCCTCTATGTCGACCCGATCTCCATCGATAACCATCATGGTAGTGGTGGTGGGCTCCTCAGTGGTGCTGCACAAAACACACACACACACACACGCACGTGTGTATTTATGGGTGTATATATTCGTGTCTACATCAATCACCATCACCTCGTGGTCGTCGGTGCTGAAAGCAGAATAATCAGAGAGAAAAGAAATTCGCATTGACGATTTCTTAATGGCTTCGATTCTCATATGGGTTATGATGAGTCGGCAGGCGCAGTAGCAACCAACACTCAGTCGATGTTTCTTGCCGACCATTCAGCGGCAACAAATGGAAAAAAGAAAGGAATGGTCCTTTGCAATTAAGGTCTCTTTTTGGTACTCTTTGTCGAGAAGAAAAAAGGTGTGTGGCGGTAGGTAAATCGATCAGTCAGTGCTAGCAGACAGGCCGCAGCAAGCAGGCAGATTAGAGTTGTGGCAGACAGACAGACAGACACAAACAGCATGACAGACAGACTTAGGCAGACAGAGAGAGACATGTAGAGAGACACAAACAGTAGAGAACATGTCGGTCAGTCGGTCGATGCATGCATGGCTTCAAGCACTAAACCAACAGCAGCAGCTTGAGCGTGGATTAATTGGCTTGTCGATCGATGCAGCTAGCCGTTTCTCACTGGATGAATGTGAGCAGGGTCAGGGCCAGAAGCAGCAGGTAGAGAGGACCGCCGCTGCATGTCGGCAACGCACAAAAACACAGGGAGACACGAGTGTACGTAATGTGCACGCACGCACCTGAATGCATTGCTGTCCTTGCCGTCATCTCCGGTCGGTTCGCCTACATAGGACGTGCGTGTTGAGAGGAGAACGTGAGAATGTGAGCAGTGAGAGTTCTCGCTTATATATAGCTGTACCTGTGCTTGTGTCAGGTTCAGGGCTGCTCCTGCTGCTGCCAGGTGTCTCAGATGAGGTGGGTGGTTCGTCAGTGCTGCGCAACACACACGTGTATTTCATGTGCGTGTCTCTGCACCCAACATTGATCATTACTTCGTGGTTGCATCTGAAAGTAAAAGAATCACAAAGAGAGAGAGAGCTTCGCATCCATCGACTATCGCTTGACGCTGGCTTCAATATACCTGGCGTCACAGTAAGCGTTCCGGCATCAGACCAGTCTTCAGCCGTCGTACAGGAGTTATCAGCGAACCGGGATTGAGGGCACCTGAACACATGAAACTCACACATGTGCATGGCTGGCTGCATGATGCCTATCACCTGCCGACTCACCAGCACAGCTTGTAGCTGCCTATTCTCCGACCCCTGCTCACGTACTTGGAGCCCCTGCTGACCCATATACAAACCCGAACACACAACACACCGAACATTCTGTGCAAAGGGGGAAACGGTTCTGTGTAAAGGGACGCGCGCTCATCGCAACTCGGTACCAGATCAACAGAAGGGAGAGAGCGACATGCTCCGTCTTGTATGTGTGTCCATGTGTAGGTGCATCGGGTGTGGCCTACAGCGAGACGAGTGATGCTTTCGAGTTCTTCACAACGTCCGCGTATCAGGAGGGCGATAAGGTGTCCTTCGGCTACGGGCCCAAGACCAATGATGACCTACTGAAGTATCCATACGGACCAGAAGGCGCGCACACACACTGGACGCTGCTCAACAGGACCTGCAGCGTGCGAAGAGATCGAGACTGGTCGGACAGGCTAAGCTTGCTGGCCCAGCGAGCTTTTCGCTGCAATCGTTGAAGGAAAGGCTCATCATTGATGGCTAGTCGCCCTCTTAATCTGACAGAAGCGGCTCTGTAGCATCGCAGGTACGTTGTCTGCAACGAGCTGAAAAGTGTATGTAATGGTCTGTAATGGTCTGTCGGCATTGCTCTCTTTCCGTTCTCAATTTCTCATTCAGGCGGATGGTGACCAGCCCGCAGATGGGGAATGGAGATGCGGCTGGCGATGCGGACACGAGGCCGGCCGTGTTTGTCAGGGAAGAGCCGGGCGTGACGGTGGCGGACAGCAGCAGTGGTGGTTCTGAGGAGGCGGCGGTCAACACGGAGGCTCCTCACGCCAGAAGGGACCCAAAAAGACCCAAAAGTAAGGCCCTTTTCCATGCGATGAACGATTAACCTCCTTGCGCTCCTGTTGTCAGAGGCCCGATGGTTGGACCCGTCAGTGTATATCACTGTCCGTGTACTGTATTACTACCTGCTGCGCCACCCGCTGGCTGGCAAAATCAAGGTAGTGAGTGAGTGTAGCGTCACCTCACATGAGTGCATGGAACCGTCTCTGCTTTTTGTTAGGTTCTGGACCACGACAGGTTGCCAGGGAATAGGGCCATAGGGGTGGGACCGAAGGGTGACGAGAAGACCATCCTGCAGCTCGAGGCCTACAACCCGCTTGCCCTCGACTGACAGAAAGAAGCGCTATCCCTCACTCACGCCCCGCACGAAAGACAGCCCGAAAGATACATACCCATGCACTCAGCAGCAGACACTCATTGGCTTCCGAGTATAGTACACACGCGTCGACTACTATAACATCAATCACCAGTATCGGCTGCACCCGATGAAGAGAGCCCAGTGCACGCATCATGGACAGCTTCGGCTGACACGGACAATGCCGCGCTATCATTGTCGTAACTGCTGAGCCGAGGCCAATCGACACGCGTGAGGTGGCAGAGGGGGGTCAGGGCGGCTGTGTGGGCGTCGCTTGGCCGCGATTGGGTTGAGCTGACAGGCGACGACGCGCCACTCGTGGGCACCTCATCTGCTGCATGGCCACATGGCGTCTCCACCACTGTCGGTGCGAGGCCCGCGAGGACCTCCGGGATGGCATCGTGCAATCAATCAAGGAAGACATACATACAAGGCAGCGAGAGAGACATACTGCGGCACTCTTGCTGACCGGTGGGCTGCCCGCCTCGATAAGTGTTCGTTTGGTCTTGCGGGCCTCATAAAGCCCACGCCACCCCCCACTGTCGCCAGTGTGCTGCTGGTTGTCCGTCGACGCCTCGGTGTCGGCCTTCTCGATATCACTACCATTGGCCCTCCGCCTTAGAGCCGCCTGGTGCATCTGCTCTCCCGTGACAAGCTCGTCCACCACGTAACACAAGTTGGCCTGGAGGTCATATAACGTGATGCCCGGCGACACGTCTGAAAGCTCCGGCTGGCCATTTGGTTGAGCGCTGAATGTCGTGCCGTCAAGCAGTTGAATCGACACTGCACACATCACCATCACACGCCAAGACGGACCGCCGTGCGAAGTACGCATCATGGTCTAGGTCTAAGCAGCAAGCTGACCATCGCTAGAGTACTGGTTGCGAAAGACATTGGAAAGGTCGCTGGTCCGCATGTGCCGCAAACCCTGGACACACACACAGGTCAGTCGATCATGTACGCGGGGCGTCCTTTAATGGCACGGAGTGATAGAGACAGGACGACACAACTCCATTATGCCTTCCAAAATTCGAGGGAAGGGGGGGGATAAGTGAATGAGCATGATTCTCTGATAACCACACAGCCTTGTGGGGTAGTATTCATAATCAGATACTATTCATGTATGTGAAGAAGTGTCCCATATTCATCAGGTGGCAAGACGGCGCAGCTTGCGGAGAAGGGCAAGATCGACAAGTACGGTCCGACCGCCCAGGCGGCCGGCTTCCGCTTTGTGCCGCTCGTTGCAGAGACATTTGGCAGGTGGGGAGAGAAAACCATGGATTTTCTAAAGATGCTCGCCAAGCGGAAGCCCCGCCCTACCTCCATTCCCGCTGACGAGGACGCAGCGTTCTGTGAGAGCATCATCAATCATTGGAGCCAGCTTCTGTCCGTCGAGTTGATGAAGCATAACACGTTCCAAGTGGCGAGTCGTGCACAACGTGCTGCGGCCGCCAGAGGGCCACGGAGGGCCAGCGCGTTTCCCGAGGACTTCATCAGCTGCGGGCCGTATAAGCGCGTTTCCCGAGGACTTCATCAGCTGCGGGCCGTATAGGCCACACACCAGCCCCGCTCCGGGGCTGTGAGGTGGCTGGCTGGATCTGGATGTTGTGAGTGTGTGTATATGGTACTGCATGTCTCACGTTTGTTTGCAGTGTGTGACATGCATTTGTTTGCAGTCAATGAGTGTTGTCCGTTGGCTATGCACGGTTGTGTTTCCTGTTGCTTGTCTGACACGGATGCTTAGACGAACTTCGTCGCCCGTTCTATATGTCAACCGAGGGCACACCCCATATTCTCATCTTTTGCAAAATACTCCAACGCACACGTTGTCGCTTCTCAACGAGAACGCTTTCACAGGTCTGCATTGGGACCATTTATTGAATTTGCTGAGCCCGCAATTGTATGGAAACCAAGAACTTTGGCCTTTTGGATGTCGAATTTGCAATCAATCAAAGACTCAGACGCAGATGAGCTAGCAAGCTGTCCTGGAGATCACAAAAAGCTGGCAGTTGGGCGATAGTTGGATGGGGTGTGAGTTATGACGTCCCTGTGCGCTACGCATCAGAAAATCCCACTCGGCCTGCAGGGACGTCGTGAGAGCCGTGTGAGCTGCCTGTGGGTACTTGGCCGTTGCGTCCGCCATCCGTTGGACACACCTCTGCCACTCCTGTACCCTCTCGGTGACGTAGGCCCTCTTGCCTTCTGCGGTCCCCACAAACCCGCCCATATATCGAGCACCACTCACGATCTGCACGTCAGTATCGCCAAACACTTCGCCCTCTCCTTGCAGCCCGCTCACACCACCAGCTCGCTCCATCCTATTTCTCACGTCCTAGAGCTGCCATCTACAGGGTTGTAGTTCCACAGGCCGCTGATGCCCTCATCCAGCAGCACTCGCCCATCGGCCGTCACCTGTGCTCTGACCGTCCGCTTGTGCTTCTTCTTGCGCAGCTGGTCGTCAGAGCAACGAAGCTCATCGCGTCCTGCTCGTCGGCTGCTGCCTGCTTTCGCATCACCAGCTCGTATCGCTCTTTCAGACCTGACAACACCAAACAACCATGATAAGCGAACAAGGGAGTTTCTTCATGTCTGCCGGATGGCTGACCGACGGTGCGTGGGGGTGATGTATAGATTTCGAATGCGAACGCGTAGTTGGCCGGTGGGTCGAGCTTGTCATAGACGAAGTCGAGGGATGTGCCCGGGCATGGGTACCCCACCTGCACGGCCGCGGCGCCGAACGGACACGTGCAGTGCTTCGCGTCGAGCGCTCTGCAGGCCACATGCACATACAGGACACAGATTAGGGCCTCTTGTGTGAATGTCACCCACACGTACCTGAGTATTTTGCTCATGCGTTGTGCGTTTCTCGGCGCCTCCTTCTGCTCGTATGCCCACGGCTGATACATGCCGAACGTCCCTGAGTGGATTGTCACGAACGTCGTCGTCTGAGGCGGAAAGGGAGCAGAGTCGAACAAATGATGTCTCTCCTAAGCCTGCCTCACTCTCACCTTGACTTCTTTGACGAGGTCGAGGAAGATGGCTGTCTCTGGCTCGGAGAAGGGCTTGGCACCGGGATTCGTGTCGAGGCCCAGGTTTCACTCAGGCTGACACATAAAGCGACAGTTGAGGTTGTATGGTCAGCCATTCTTTCCATCCTCTCTCATACCGTCCAGTGGTCGTCCCAGTTGTGTTTCAAGTCGACTCCTGCACACGCCAAACACAGACACACGGAGATACAGATCGGTGAATACGATACACTGTCGCAGCCTCACCGTGTTCGTTGACCCTCACGCACTAGTCGCCGTTCTCGACTCGCCGGCGGGATTGAGGATTACCATTCACAATTATCGAAAACATGGTGCTCTCCAACACGTGCCTGACATGACACACACAGACACGCCGGCCGCCACGGATGTCCTTTGTCTGCAGGAGCCTTTACTTGGCCTCCTTGAGAAGCTTCTTGTCTTGGACGGCCGGCGATTGGCAGAGCGCCTCAATCATGTACAGTCCCGTCTCGGGAGAGATCAACCGAAGACAGGAAGCGACAAATGAGCGATTGATGTGATGTGTCTGCCTGCCATTGTGGTGGTCCGCTGGCTCATTCACTGGCTGACTCACTCTCTGGCATGTTCGCCGAAGAGCATGAAGACGCGATCGATCGGCTCGACGCCTTTGCTGCGAATGGTGACCACGTCAATCGACGCTGAACCGTTGCGACGCTCAGACTGCATGAGCCAAAGCACAAACACGAACAAAGCACATTGATGCATGTTTGCCTGCCCCTTTCTCTCTTTGTCGGCCAGACAAAGACAAACCAATGTGAGGTCTGGGCATGATTGGCTCAGCTGCTTGAGCCGGTGGTGAATCTGGTCGGTCGTGTGGTGGAAGTCAAAGTCCTGCAGCAACACCGTTTTGACGTCTGTGGCACTGCTGCCTTAGGCGGCCGCCACACAGAGGCAGAGGCAGATGAGCGACAGCCGCAGCAGACCACCCCTCATCTCAATCGACAGATGAGAAGAGAAGATTCCTCAGTCAACGGATAAGCTGGTAAAACTGCACCACACAAACACATACGAATACACATACGTGTATGCGTGATATACATGTTTTGTCATTGCAAATGTTCCTCGAGAGCCTCCCTTCCGGCGTAGGAGAGCCATCAGCCTATCGATTTGTCCTCAAACCACGGCGATGGCTTCTGCAAAGCGTTGGCGACACCTCTCACCTCACCCTCGCCCGCCCGATCCAGCGATGCAAATGGACCGAGATGCCCTCACACCCGATATGTGGAGGTACTTGAGCGAGCTGGGCAGCTGCCGATGAGGATGGAACGGTCCATTGTTGTGCTTTTGCGCTGGATGAGGGCGGGGGACCGCGGGAGGAACGATGGATGTGTGGGATCGTTGAATTCAGAGGATGAGGCGCAGGATGGCTCTTGCACGGTCACTGGTGAAGCCCCTGCAGCTGCCGGCCCTTATTGCCTGCATTCTGCGGCGAAAAATGCGCAAAGGGTAATCGGGTGCACGGAAATTTAAAGTCTGTCCTAAGGTTCCAACGTCTGCAGATCTGCCTCCCTGGGCTTTCACGCGAAGGCTTTCAGACGTGCAATTCGAAAGAGGCGAAGAGAAAGCCATTGCAGTGTATGGTTCACGAGTCCAGCACTAGCGTCTCGATACATGTACAATGAAAATCCTCTACAGCTCGAGCCCACCCCTCCCGCACACAACAGTTTCTTACTTACACACATTCACCAATCACTCATGTGATGCCTGGCTACAGCGTGAGTGCCCTCTTGAAGAAAAATCCTATCAGACAGACAGACAGACAGACGCGTGTGCTGTGATTGATGTCCGTATGAGTGTGTCGGCATACCGACGGCGATCGCCGTGAGGATGCAGGACACCATGCAGAACACAAACACAGCATAAAACGCGGTGAAGCTGTCCTCAAGGCCACTCCTGCACACGACACACAGAGCCAGGACGGGCATAGAGAGACGCTTCAATCGTGTGCAGTGGGAAGATGCTGACCTGAGGTTCATCCCGAATAGGCCGCTGACACACGCCCCGAAACCCACAACGACGCCCACAGCATTCAGACCTGCAGAAATCCATCCAACACGCACACTCTTTCCATCTGCGTGTCTTGTGTCCGTTTGCTGTTGTACCCAGGTCAAGCTTGAGCACTCTATTACGCACGGTGGCTGATCGACCACACCACACAACACCACACAACATCATACACACGCATGAATGGAGACGCGTCGATGTCGGTTGGTTAGCTTGCTCTCTGTCTCTTTCACTCACCCAGGTGGAGATTCATCAGCTGTAGCACGTCATCCAGCGTCTGCACAGTCGCCCACACATACACAGACATACAAACAAACACCACATACATGCGATGGGCTGTGCGTCTGCACCCACCTCGTCGAGCAGGCTGATGTTGTGGTCGAGGAGCTCCGACTCGTGCATGTAGCACTTGAGCAACAGCTCCACGTCCTCGGTGCTATACGGCTCATCACCGGCCTCCTCATGCTCGTAGTTTTCGGGCGATACTGGCCCGGCAGCGTTCCTCCCCTCCTCAGACTGATGGTCCATCGGACTGTCTGCCGTCCCTGCATTCGTCTGCTGCTCCTCAGCACCAACATGACGCGTGCCAAACTGACCACAGAAGGAAAAGGGAGACAGATGAATGTGTGTGAGTCTGGTGGGGGTGGTGTGGCGTACATGTGGGCTGTCTGCAAGTGAGTGTGCGGAGCCGTGGAATGCCTCGGCGAATGTGGGTGGGAGGGTGGCCGCGCGGTGGTCGTGGCCCTTCCTGTGCACAGTGTGGAGCACGTGCTGCTGAGAGAACCGCCGCGTGACGTCTGCTGAGGGGGTCTCGACCAATATCGACGATGTTGTTCGGGACGATGTGTTGACCTTGGATGAGTGGGTCTGCGTCATGTGTGCGCGGGCCAGGGAGGGGCAGACGGGGGGCAGGGAGGGGAAGGGAGGCGCTTCGGAAGTGATGGATTAACAAGGGAGACACAGTCATGTGTTGCTTAATGCCTTGGACACTGCCGGTGTGTCTCTCCGTGTCTGTGCTGACTGACCCTTTCCCGTCTTGCCTTGTGCGCTCGCCGATGGCGGAGATGGAGAGAGGAGGCACAGGAGGCGGAGAAGCTCTTCTGCAAGAATCCTCTTCTGCAGATTGCTTTGAGGAGACTTCCTCGACGAGCGCCTTCAACCCTCTGACCTCGGCTTTCAGCTCCTCCTGAATCTTCCTACCCCCTTTTAGCTGATTGCCATGCCTCTCTTGCACAGTCTGGACCCCACCCAGCGACTCTTTCACGCCAGCAATCTCCGCCCGGACTTCCTTGACCTTCTTGATCATCGCTTCCTTCAGGCTCTCAGTGGCGTGTTTGTTCTCCGCCATGTGACAATCGGTGCGAGACAGATGTTCTCTGAACGACTTGATGAGAGCGTCCATGGTGAAGTCGGCACAAACGCATCTGTTTTGTCCTCATCAGGCGTGTGACATACGTTAACTCATAGCGCAACGGCGACCAACCCTCAATCATGCGACAAACATGCCAGCACCATCCTCAGCGCCCGCCTGGCGTATCTTCCAGCGGCGCCGCCCACCACGCACACACATACTCGCACTACGCGCCAGGTCCATGGTGAAGTCCACCTTAAGCTCCAGCCGACAGAGACGCTCATCCATCTTCTCCTGCCATTCATCATGGTGGCTGCATTCAACGTTTGGCGCCTGGGGCTTTGCATCAGATTGCATGGTGCTGCTGTACCGCGTCGCCCAGCCAGACAATAGGGGATAGGAAGCAGTGCCGCCCGCCGTGTCAGGTCCCCTCCACTTGAGTCAGATGGTGCTCGTCATGGGCCCACTTGGAATCATTGCAGATTAAGAGTTGTAGGCAGGAGCTCGCGAGCCAACGCCGTCACCAACTTGGGAAGCCGTGGGATCTTCGTTTTGATGTCCTTCAGTAAGTTCTCTCCCCATCTTGCATGCAGACTGGCCCCCATCGAGCCCCCACCCTGCTCCTCGGAGTCCCCAAAGACAAAGGCAAGAGGCACACCAGAAAGGTCCACTGACAGGTCTTGACAACGCTTCGTCTGTTGTGTGGTCAGATGATGGACAACCGCTTCACTCGCCCATCTACCCATCATGGCAGCGGTCCCCCGCCCTCGCCCAACGCCTTCAACGACTTCTTCCACTCCGTCACCACTTGCCAGTATGATGCTGTGCAGCGGTGCCTCGAGAGAGAGGATCCCACGCCCTACATGCAGGCTACTGATCAAGTCAATACAGGGAGGGGGATGCGTCAATCACGTTTGGTGAGGGAGAGGTGCATGGCTTGTGTGCCGCTGTGTCTGTCAGACGCTCAAGACGTGTCTGCACTTGGCTGTCAAGGGGGGTTTGCAGTTCTGGTGCACTTGTTCATCACCCTCGGGGCCGCCATCGAAGCCAGAGAGCGAATCGGGAGGACGCCGCTGCACTTGGTAGGGCTGAAGAGGCACACGGACAAATAGACCGACCGACCGAGCGACCGACAGACAGGCACCCGACCGGCATTGTGTCTGATAGGCGTGTGAGTATGGGCACGAGAAAGCTGTGGAGTGTTTGTTACACGCTGGGGCGAACCTGGAGGCCCGCGATGGGCTGGGTACGCGTGGACAAGAATACGCCACATGATGTGGCTCTTACGGCTTTGCGTCGTTGCAGCTTGGTCGCACGCCGTTTCATCTGGGTTGCTATTCGGAGAATCGCAACGTCGTTTCCATTCTTCTGCACTCGAAGCCATCGCTCATCCATGCCACCGACAAGGTGACGAGACACGACAGACACAACGAGCAACGCCGCAGCTGCCTTTGCTGTGCCGTGCAGCATGAGCGCACCGGTCTGTACTACGCTGTGTTGAGCCGTCACTGGAGCGGGCAGGACATCACCAAGCTGCTGCTCGCCAAGGGAGCTGATGTCAACGCTCGCGACCTGTACGGCCGCACCCCTCTCCATTACGCATGCGAGGTATAGAAGGTGAGCAATGAGGGGCATTCAGTGACGCCTTCTCTTTTGCCCACAGGATGGTCAGTCGAAGGTTGTCCCCCTGCTGTTGAGGAATGGAGCTGACCCGCACATTCAGAACACTGTCAGCCGCAAGAGCCCTCTGCAAATGGCCGCGACGCCACTCATAAGAGACCAAATCAAAAGTGAGCATCCGTGTATGAGAGAATGGATGTGCTACACGTCTCTATGAATGCAGGTCATCTGAGGCAGAAGGACGAGCTCCCGGTGGCCGAGTGAAGGGCCACTGAAGGCGCCGTGGACCAGGCCACCTCCCCAATGCAGCGTGGAACGATGCCCCAGCAGCCATACAGCCCTCCTGCGGAGGACAGAAGGGAGAGGGAGCAGCAGCTGGCCGTCGAGCCATCGCGACCAGGACCGAAAGAAGGTCAAATAGCGTCATCCATACATACAAAGAGAGCTGGGTGTTGTGCTGTGCGCTCAGGCCTGTCTGCGTTGTCTGTGTCGACGGGCCCTCTCCGCGAGCGGTTCATGCGTCTGATGCTGCCTGTGCAGCAGGGCGGCCCCGACGACCTGCAGCACATCAAGGAGCCGCACCTGTTCACCGCCAGCTGGATGGAGGCCATACACACGCACCAACAGCTCTTCCAATCCATCATGGCTGCCCGTCAGGGTCACGTAGGCGTCATGTCGGTCATGTATGAGAGCAAACCTGACGTACTGCAGCAAACAAACGACGTACTATCACAGACAAATCATCTTGTGCTGCAGTTGGTGATGAGGAGATGTGTGTTGGGTGTGATGGAATGCATACTGGTTGGACTGCAATGCACTTCGCTGCCTGGAATGGCCATCTTGCGGTCGTTAATCAGCTGCTGAAGTGGGATCCCAAACTGCTCGATGCACGCAGCAAGGTAAGAGAGCACACACACATGTCTCTGACGCCTCAGTGTGTCGATTGATTTTGTGTGTCATGATTGTAGTTCGGTACCACACCATTCATATTTGCTGCCTCGGGTGGTCATGTGGATGTGCTGAGGGCACTGTATGCCAAAGGCGGGAAGGGCTGCCTCACACAAAAGGACCAGGTCACACAGAAGGCCGGGAGACAATGAACGTAACTCTGACATGTTTGATTGCCTTTCTTTGTGTGCATGACACACACAGCACGGCATGACGGCACTCCATGTGGCTGCGGACAGGGGCCAATCTGTCGCTGTGTCTCAGCTGTGGGCGACACTGATGAATGACTGATGCGAACATCTTACACACTCTCTGTCTCTCTGTGCCATTCTCAAAGGCTCGAGTGGGGCGGCGGTGCTCTGCTGGACATCAAAAACAACGACGTGAGTGCACACAGACATTCACATCATCGATGGGTTGAGTGCTCATCTCATCTCATCTCATGTCATGACAACAGGGCAAGACGCCGTGGGATTTCGCCGTGTTGGTCCGAGGCAAGGATGTTGGAGCACCGTCACCCTGCGTTCCCCGCTCCCCCCTCCCTCTACTACAGCAAGAGCTACTGGGACACGATGAGCTGCAGCACAGCCACTGGCGGGCCGTGTGGGGCAACCAGCTCGTGCCGACCTGACACAGGTAAGATGGGACAGGGAAGAGAGGGAGGGGGGAAGAAGGGGCGAGGCAGATGCGTTGTCATCTGTGTGTTGTGTTGTGTATGGTGTGCGCACACAGACATTCATTATATGTGCATGCGCAGGGGTGCGCACAGAGACATTCATCACATACACACACTCCAAGCCCACACGTGCATGCGTGGGTGTGCGCACACAAACATTCATCCTATGCACACACTCCAAGTCGGCGCAGCTGTCTGCACACAGATATTCATCATATGCACACACTCCAAGTCGACACGTGCATGCGCAGATGTGCGCATACAGACATTCATTATGTACACACACTTTGTGTACACACATTCCGAGTCGACACGTGTATGCGCAGGGGTGCACACACACACGTTCATTATATACACAAACTCCGAGTCACGTGCATGCGCAGTTGTGTGCACGTAGATATTCATCATGTACACACACTCCTAGTCGACACGTGCATGCGCAGGTGTGCGCACACAGACATTCACAGACATTCATCATACCCGCACACTCCAACTCCAAACATGCATGCGCAGGTGTGCGCACACAGACATTCATCATATGTACCGACTGCAAATCCACGCGTGCATGCACGCAACTCTTTGTCCCACTTTGACTCGGTCGTCCGCAATGAGGTTTCCTCCTCAGTCTTGGTTACAATCACCGTATCGCTAGAAGCTGATTTGAGCTCCTCTTTCGATTTAACGTTATTGGGGGACAGCTTGCTGTTCACTACATGACCACTACATGACACAACATAGACAAGCAGCGATGTCTTGACTGACGCTCACTGCGTCTTTCGTTTCGCTCACTTTCGTCAGGGCAGCGGGATGCTCTCCGAGATGCTCTCCAAGATATTGCAGCTCATCTGATTTGAGGTTCTTGAAGGCGCGTCAGCGGGCGCAAAAGAGAGTGTAGGGACCATGCTTCGTGTCAGCAAATGCTGGTCGCGTCTTTGTCTTGACCACCGCGCTATTGAATATGAACAAGTCGTCCTCCTTCTCTATGAACTCAGCGAGCGTCCCCTTGAATGGAGAGGAAGACGCTTTTCATCCTCTTCTGTGCTGAGAGTGACCGCTATGTCGTCATCAGTAGGCAATCCAAGGTCATCATCGACAGGTTGCAATGGGTCGGTCGCGATGGATACCATGCCGTCATCCGGTTCCATCAGCTTCTTGGTCGACGGCTCTGTAGCCTTGTCCTTCAGCTCTTGTCCAGTGAGAAAGAGAATTACTGCACCAAGTACATGAACAATGCTATTCGTCGCTCTGATGTCCTTCTCACTGAATGCGGCAGAATCTCCCAAAGTGACCTCCCCTTTGATGTCCTCAGCTTCTTCCACAGTGACTTCCCATCCTCCGAGAGTCGGCAGTGCCTTCATCTTCGAGATGGCATCTGATGAGATCTCCCCCTCTACGATGTGAGCCGCAAGAAGCCCTCAAGAAGCTGATCACCATACTCATGACGACACACCAATCATGTCGCGTTGCGTGTCAGCCTACACCTGCATACCCCAGTGTCGTCGGCGAGGCTGATGAGGGCTTCATTGCTGAGTGCTTTGATCGCGTCAGTGGGAACGGTTTCACGGTAATGCCCTAGGTGACCACTGGCCTAGTCCATGTCTTTCACATGGACACGCAACGCATTGATTGGACACACCATCTGCCCTCAGGGGCCGGGGCCTCGGTGCCCGTTAACGAACACGTATATGGTGGTGTACTCATGTGATTGGCTGATTGTTGCTTTGGTGGCTCAGAGGGCGCTCATTTTTCTACTTCCCCCTTCTGGCTTCTGTACACTTGCCATGGCTCTTGCTGGGCCACAGCGCCCGTTCTTGTGTATGTACCCGGAATCGGTGTTTGTCAACGCTCTACAAGGCAGCCAGTGCTCTCTGTTGCCATCTGTCTGTCCGCCGCTGCCAGTGTAGGGAGGGGTAGACAGGCCGTGTGCATGCTTTGCATGTACATGCTGCTAGTTTAGTGCGTGAGACAAGAGGATCCCTCCGGGGTTACAGACACGAGTCTCGTTAAACACACTAACCAACCAATCAACGGGAACCCACGCACGCTCCACATCCTTGGTAGGGACGAGCAACGTAGCAGCAGGCTCAGGTTTGCTCATCACCTGCTTCAGATCAGCATTCTCGAGGAGGAGAAAAAAGGAGCTCTCATCCTTACAAATGGGGGCGAGCGAGTAGAAAGTATCTTATGAACGAGTGCGGGGACGATTGCAGTGACTGCATCTTCTCATCGGCCTGGATTCAAGAATATCGAAAAGCGGCCGGTCACCTTTTCCACTTTTGC